TCCTCGGGCTGACAGTCTCCATTAACCATTGGTTAATACTGCAGCGTCAGAGCAAACCCAGAGTCGCAGCCCTGTGCTGTTAGAAAGTGTCCTTCATCCCAGCAAGGGACCTTGGGGTGAGAACATTTTGCATGAAGAGCCACTGGTGTAAGAGCTGAGCCTCTCAGCTCTGCATTGCAGTCAGCGTGTCGTGTGCCATCCCTCCACGCCACAAATAAATCTACAATTTCTCAGCTGGGAGCCTTTGGAAGCCACATACTAATATGCTTATATGGGAAGAGAGACCAGACAAGGTTCAAATAAAGAGCTCATGTAATAAATAAACATGAGGTCAGTATGGGAACAGCAATAATTGCTTTGTATGACAAGATTTGCGTAGCAAACATTCGTGATTAATGTACAGCCGGTGTCAGGTAAGGAGCCTTCACTATCATTGTTCCGTCTGCACCTTCCAATCTAGAAGGTACAGCAACTCCAGCCAGAGCAATTAGTCACTGTTTACTGAGAGGCAGATCGAGCAAAATTTTTCTAGTTCAATATTTGAGCGAGTTTCGCCTCAGAGCCTCTCGCTGGATCCATTTCTGCGCCAGGCAGGGATCACACTTCTTTCCTGGGGGTGGCAAGGAGGGATGATCAGCAGTGCTGCTAATCTGCTCAGCAAGGGCACGGGCTGGCTCCCAGCCTCTCCTGCTGGCCTCTCCCAGGTGGTGTTCTCAGGGAAAACCTAAGAAAGAGGCTGAAGACCCTGCATGTCAGGGCTCTGCTTCCTGGCTGCCTTTTCTTTCACCTGCCTCTGCCTGCCAGTTTCACGGCCCCTTGGCCACCGCTGATGCAGGCAGTGGGATGCAGCACCGAGGGCAACACCACCTCCTTCTTTACAGCCTCCTTTCTGCAAAGCTTGCCTAATAAGTTCCAGCTAAACTTCCAGCTCTTTGGCCAACGAGCAATAATCCCACTTGAAATACTATCTTGATTTGGGGATATTTTTCCTTTTTTTAAAGGCATGCAAGCCTCTGGCTTCCCTGGAAAGGAGGCAGTTTGGCTGGAGGGACTGGGGTTATTCCTCTGAGGGTAATTCCTATGGGAAAACCATTCCATTGTAGCTGGTTGGAGGCAAGGAACTTGCTGCTGCAGTCTTCCACCTTAACTGCTTGGGGGTGCCAGGTAAAGCTGTTAGCATCACTGGGAAGTCACTCCAGGAAGTACTGCACAGAACAGCTGGACAGGCATAAGGAGAGTTCCTTCATGTTGGTGAGATCCAGAAGGGCTTGATCAGAGTAAGCAGGCCTCAAAACCTAGGGCATGCATTTTGGGGACATGAAGGGAAGAATTGAAGGTGTTTTTCTCTTGTGCACTCGCAGAATTCAGTTGTGACTGAGGATGCCAATCAGCTCCTCAAGAGTGATAAATGGCAGCTGCTGTCTCCCACCTGTGATGAGATGTTGAGATTTTCAGTCTCTGTCTTTCCAAGACAAGTCTTGATGAGACACTGTTCCCCAGGATCTGTTAGGGGGGATGTCTGTGTTGGCATTTCACCCTTGTGCTGGGGTGGCTGGTGGTGAGGGGGCGTACGGGGCTGATGCTTGCAGGACCCTGGCACTGCAGCTGTCCCCAGAGCATCCAGGAGGTGCCACCAGGCTGGCAGGGGACATCAGGATGGGGAGTGCATTGGTGGGAGATGCCATTACACCTCTGTGCCCCTCAGAGCTGCAGGCAGGCTGGAAAACGTGGCTCTCATCAGCTACTTCAGTGCCAAGTCCACCCAGCAGCACAGTGAAGAGTGATCTCCGAGGTGCTGCCGACCCGCCCTACTGCCCTGAAAACCTCTCTCCCTCCTTTGCAGCCCTTCCACCCTAAAGGTCCCCACCCGCCTGGGCTGGGCGCTGGGAAGCCCTGCACTCACCTTGGTGCTGAGAGCGCAGCTGGGGCGCTCTGGGCCATGTGCACCACGGCAAGGCTGGGTGAGCCCTCCGGAGCCGCCGGCGGTGCCTCGCCATGAAGAGGAAGAAGGGCAGAAGCACGCGCCAGGAGGACCTGAAGCGGACGCTCTTCCCAAAGCGCTTCCCCCTCCTGTCCCGGAGCCTGGAGCGTGCCCTCATGGACCTGCGGAGCGCGCAGTGAGGCCTTTGGATGGGATATGGAAGAGCATCGTGGTGCTGGGCCCCCAGGTTGACGTGGGAGAGCTCCCTTGGATGGAATGTTGGGGTGGGTGGCGGTGACGGCACTGGGCCATGGGGACACGAGTGTCCCAAACTGAGCAGGACGGGCCAGGCATCCCCATTTCCCCATTGTTCCTGAATTCCAGAGCCTGGGAGATTTGACTTTTGGCTTTTGCAAGCTGGAGTGAGGAGCCCTTCCCCTCAGGAATTCATCCCTCCTGCCATCCCTCCTGCACTGCTGAGGATCACCCTGGTTGTTTTTCAAGCAATATCCTTAATAATTATTTTTTTTTTAAATATCCCCAGTCTCCTTTTTCATGCTGTGAAGTCAGGGATCAGGGAGATCTCAGTCCTGGGAATTGGGGTTGCTCAGCTGTTCCCCATCTTTAGGGCCTTGTGCTGCCAGCTTCTCCTGGGAATGCTGCCATGCAGCAGGAGAATCTCCCTGGAGGTGCCTTGCCCTTGCCCTGCTCACTCCGTCCTCAAACCCAATTGATCCCCTTTGCAAGCCCTGTGGATTTGATGCTCCCAACTCCCTCCTTTTCCTCTTTTTTTGTCCTGATGGCAAGTGAAAGGGACAGGAGGGGAATGGTGACTCTCAAAAGCTGCCAGACCTTCAGCTGCATGTCATAAACCCATTCCTTTCTCTATAATTCACACCATGCTGCTTTTCATTCCTCATCCTTTTTAGTGTGAGTAGTTACTCCATTTTCCCACTTTAATACAATTGTACCACACTTCTCCTTTCCCATATCCCAGGAAGCTGCTCACCCATTACATGGCTTTAAATGGAGTAATTGCAAGATTAGGTTCCTTTGGCCAGGCCATTAAAAAATGCCATTACAGAGGAACTGCAGGAGAGTGCCTGGAAAATCAAGCTTTGAGGGTGAAAGCTCTGCAGGCATATTTTTATTGCTATTGACCACCCCAGGGCCTCTGGGAGAAGGGAGCCAAGAGCATTTCTGGGGTTTTTGTCCTCTGAGGAAGGAGAGAAGGCAGGAGTGGCTCCATGTGGGGTGGGTGGGATCAGCTGGGATCTAGGTTGTTGTCTTCACTGAGAATTAAAAATAAACATTGTCAGCCCTGGGAGGCAGAGCTGGAGTGCTTGTCCAGCTCCTTGGGACAGCAGGGCCAGGGAGCTCCTGGGGAGCTGTGGAGCTGAGGAAGGGCCTGGAGCAGGAAAGGCTGAGGGAGCTGGGGCTGAGGAGATGCTGAGAGGGGCCCTCAGGCCTGGGTGACCCTGTTGTGACCCTGAGTGTCCCTGGGTGTCCCTGAGTGTCCCTGTCCATCCCTGTCCGTCCCTGTGTGCAGGAGGGCAGAGCAGCCCCAGGCCCTGCTACAGGCCCAGCAATGGCCCCAGAGCCCCGGGCAGGGCTGAGCCCGGCAATTCCCTGCCCAGGAGGCAGAACTTCCCTGTGGGCACTGGAGCAGAGCCCAGAGAGGCTGTGGGTCCTCCCTGGCTGGGGATATTCCAGAGCCCTGTGCACACCCCGCTGTGCCCTGTGCTCGGGATGGCCCTGGGGTGGCACCAGCTGAGCCTCTGTGCTCCCTTAGCCCTGCCCCACTCCGGGATTCTGGGATTCATCCCCCCACATGAGTTTTTTGGGTGACCCCCGGGTGAAGGTGTTCCCGAGCTCTCTCTGGGTTTCATTCAGCAGGAAATCATTTTGCCACATTCTCCAGTGGTGTCACCGAGGCCGTCACTTGCCGGGTCACAGATGGCTCGTGACTGTCCTTGCTCCCTCTCTGGGCTGGGGATGGAAAGTTCCTGGGTGAGCTGAAGGGAAGGATCCCTCTCTGTGCCATCAGCAGGTGCTGGCCGTGACCTCCCAGCACTTGGGCCTTGTCACCGTCACCCCTCTGCTTTATCCTGAGCCTCTCCTCAGGTGGAGCCCGGCTGTGGTGGCACCCCCAGAGCGGGGAGGGACATAAAGGACAGCAGAGCCACCTGTGAGCCAGGGCAGGGCTGATAAGGAGCTGGTTTGGGAGGAGTGACTTGGAATGCTGCATGTAAATGTGGGAGTGCAGAGTCCCAGATAAGATGTGGGCGGGTGAGATAACAAAGGGTCAGGAGGGCTGATCCCGGGAATATTTCCTGAGAGCAGCTGTGTTCAAAGCTGGCTGCAATTCACTGCCTGCTTTTCCTTGACAGGGAGGTGACCTCCCTCTGCTGCCCGCTGAGGTTTGGGGTTGATATTTGGGTAGTATTTGTCAACAGACCAGACCAAACACCACCTTGATTTGTGTTCTAAGGCACCTGCTGTTTGTAACAGGGATTTTCATGAGAGAGGTAGCAAGGGGAGGGCGTGTAATTTAATCTCCAGGCTGTAAAAATCCATTTCTGCTTGTACTTGTTGATAATGTAACTGTGACACAGCTAATACAAAATGACCCGAATGCACTTTCACAGAGTTGTCATAATGAAGGTTGGTCTGTACCCACAGGTGCAGGATGCTGCTCACAGTTTGATGGAAAACTGGAACAACTGGGGTGTTTTTTCTCTTTTTTTTTTTTTTTTTTTTTTTTGTGTTTATGGTCCTTCAAATATTAACAACATTTTTTTTTATAGCTGCCCTCTCTGCAGTACTTTCACCTGCAGTTGTCCAGGGCTCCATAAAATAACCTTTTTTTTTGAACTAAAGAAAAACTGACTGGAGGAGGAAGACCAGGTTTGGGTGAGGGTGGATTTTTTCCAAGGAATTCCAAGGGCAGAGCGGGACCTCCTGTAAAATGAACGTTTTGTGTGGTCATCAGTTGCTTCAGGAGTATGTCGCTGTCGAGGCAGGACGGGAATGAGAAGACTGACTCAGAAGACTGCTGAGAGTAAAACTCCGGTTTATTCAAAATACACCGCTCTTTTATTTACATTCTTTCCCAACTCTTTCCCAGGCTTCTGCCTGGCTAGAAACTCTCCATTTCTCTATTTGACTGAATCTGAGACCCACAGGAGTATAGATTAAATCCTTGGAGATGTAGATGTTAGAAAAAGAACAGAAATTACCCCTTGGAACGAAACCAAACCTGTCTATGCTGGCTGGTTTTGTCTGTCTTGGTACCTGGGGTACGAGTGCCACGAGGACCTCATTTCTGGGAGGGCTGGAAATGGACAGTGAGGGGTTTGGGATGTGGGAAAATCACTGCCTGGAGAGGCTGGGGTGTGTTCTGGGAAATGCAGGCACTGGGAGAGCAAATCCTTCAGCTGACTGTCAGAGCAAGACACACTTTTTGTGTCTCTTGGAGATCTCTTGGGTCACTTCTTCTGTCTCTCGTGTAGAAATTCTGGCCCACCTGCCATAATTAAAAGTCGGGATACAAAATTAGGTGGAAGTGCAGGACGGTGTGATAGGCAGGATGAGTGTGGCTCCAGAGAAGGGAACAGGAGTGGGAGTGAGCAGGATCTCATGCCCAAAGGTGGCTGGGGTGGGTCAGAGGATGGAGGATGCGCTCCTGGAGGCAGTTTGGGTGCATGAGAAGAGGCTGAGAGTGCCCAACAGGAGAAGCATCACCATATGGGACTATAAAGTGAAGGGAAAACCCCCTCGTGATTCGTGCAAGTGAGTAAACAATTGCTGTCCCTACCTGCCTGCAGGCAAGAGGTTTTGGTGTGAGTCTGCTGTTCCAGGCTTGGCCAAGGACACAGCCTGGGAAGCTCCTGCAGTGTGATTCAGCCCAGTTTGTTTTGAAAAGCCCCACAAAAACACAAGCACATGTACAGGAGGCATGGAAACTGCAGCTTGTGTTGGGAGCACAGTTGCTGGGTTTGTACACTTCAGCCAGGAAGAAAGGAATTCTTGTTGAAACTTGTTCTGTCTGTTGCTCTCTATGTAAACTTCACATATTTTGTGGGATGCTGCATCCACAGAGTAATCAGAAGGCATGGGGGAAAAAAGAGGCAACATTTGCAGATAGTCCAGTTTCCATTTCTGCTTTGCCGCTGCACATGATTAGCACATTGAACATAACTGCTAGCGCTCACTTACAAAGACTGTGAATAAATCATTCCTTTGATCTTCTTCAAAATCCAAGAGAAAGAAGAGATAGGGTAGGATAAGGATTGCATTAAGTATGATAGTGTTTAGAATTTCTTCAGTCTTGAACGTTCTTTATTCAGGGACCGACATATTAAAAATTTAAATTATTCCCATTAAAACATTGTTCCCTGGTACAGCTGTCAAGAGGAAATAGAACATAACTAGGACATTTGTGTCTGGCCAAAAGTCACCAAAATCTCCAAGCATTCCCAAGGAGAACTCTCAAGGAAAGTGTCAGAATCCCAAATGACCTTGACATCACCTCCGAATCAATAGCTTGACATCTGATAGAGACAAGTGGAGAATGCTCAGCGATAAAGGGAGCTTGTGTGGTGCAGCAGCAGAACTCAGGCAAAGAATTAAGGGATAAGGAAAATGTCAGACTATAGAAATCAACGAGATACTGTTGCCAAAAATTAGAATTCTCACTTTGGGCTGTAGGAAAGGAGAAAAGCGGTAGAAGAGGGTAGGCAAGACTCAGAGGCTGATCCCCATCCTCTGCCTGTGATACCACTCCTGTTGTTCTGAAGCTTTTCAACAAGATGTCTAGGGACAAACTGTAAAGAGTCTAGAAGGGAGAAGGAGGAAAGGAATAAAAGATGATCAGATCTGAAAGTGAGTTTTATCTGGGGAAAGAAGGAAGGAAAGAAGGAAAGAAAGGGAAGGGAAGGAAAGAGAATGAGAAAGGGAAAGGGAAAGGGAAAGGGAAAGAGAAAGAGAAAGGGAAAGGGAGAGAAGGAAGGAAGGAAGGAAGGAAGGAAGGAAGGAAGGAAGGAAGGAAGAGGAAGGAAGGAAGAGGAAGGAAGGAAGGAAGGAAGGAAGGAAGAGGAAGGAAGGAAGGAAGGAAGGAAGGAAGGAAGGAAGGAAGGAAGGAAGGAAGGAAGGAAGGAAGGAAGGAAGGAAGGAAGGAAGGAAGGAAGGAAGGAAGGAAGGAAGGAAGGAAGGAAGGAAGGAAGGAAGGAAGGAAGGAAGGAAGGAAGGAAGGAAGGAAGGAAGGAAGGAAGGAAGGAAGGAAGGAAGGAAGGAAGGAAGGAAGGGAGGGAGGGAGGGAGGGAGGGAGGGAGGGAGGGAGGGAGGGAGGGAGGGAGGGAGGGAGGGAGGGAGGAGGGAGGGGAGGAAGAAAGGGAGGGAGGGAGGCTTCAGTACCTGCCGGGCTTTCTGAGCCACTCACCAGCATTCCCAGTATGTTTGCAGGTACTCCAGGGAAGCTCCTTCTCATCTGCAAAGCAGAATTGCAGCCTAAGCCACTTTTCCCATCCTGTAATTCCCCTCTTTAGCCACAGACTGGGGAGAAGTGGCAAACTGCAAACGGCTTGATTACCCAAACTTGGGTGATCCCTGTCCAAGGAGGTAGGAAGGAAAACTGAAAATATTCCTGCAGTTGGGCAAGTTGGAGCCAAACAGCACTGTAAGAATGTGTGTGATTAGATCAGGACCAGTTGCTGTGTGTGAGCTCTCTCCCTGTTAGCACATCTACCAGCTCATCAATGTCCATGGAAGCAAAAGGCTGCACCTGCCTTTAACTGGGACAGATAAACTGCAGGCAAGCCAAATTCCTAGGCATGCCTGCACATGTCTGTGCAGAGCTATAGTCTCTCTTGGTGATCTCATTTAAACATAGTCAAAATTATTAAAAGATGCTGCTATATGGATATGACAATTCGTGCAAATAAAATTGTCATATATTTTATCGTTATGTACTGTTAAGATACTCTTCTAAGAAGTTTTTAAAAACACACAAGCCAGCGACAGGGATTGCAACACAATGTTGAAACCACCTGGACAAAGGAGGGAGGACTCCATTCACAAGCAATTGAACATGATGCACAAGAGTAGATGGGCAGCTGGCAGGAGGTTTGTTTATGACTCCAGTGGTGTCTGGACTTGCTCTGCTGTTTGTGTCTCCAAGGTCTGACTCAAACCCAGTTCAAGCCAGAGGAAAGAATCCCAGCAGTTTAGCAGATATAAAGCTGCAGCTCTGGAAAGGATAAACTTTTGGTAACACATCCTTTCATAAGTCTCTCTTTCTGACGTGCTGGTGACTCTCCTCAAGCTGGGGTTTGCTGGTGGTTATTGGGGCATGCACAAACACATTTCATCCTGCTGCTGCTACCCACATACGCTGCACCATTGCAAGAGATTCTGGCACCAGTGCTGTACCATCTGCACACCCCAGATAAATGCTCTTCCCTCCTCTTGGGCAGTGCCTGGGCCTCTTGGGCCTCCATTTGCTGCCCTTTTGCCTTTGCTTTGAGATCACAGAATGGTTTGGGTTGGATTGGGCCTCCAAGCCCACTGCCTTCCATGGGCAGGGACACCTCCCACCAGCCCAGGTTGATCCAAGCCCCATCCAGCCATGTGGCTCTATCTCTGTCTCTATCTATCTCTATCTCTATCTCTATCTCTATCTCTATCTCTATCTCTATCTCTATCTCTATCTCTATCTCTATCTCTATCTCTATCTCTATCTCTATCTCTATCTCTATCTCTATCTCTATCTCTATCTATCTCTATCTCTATCTCTATCTCTATCTCTATCTCTATCTCTATCTCTATCTCTATCTCTATCTCTATCATCTCTATCTCTATTCTCTATCTCTGACTGCCTAAATCTGTTTATTCTAATGCAGCTGAGGTCCTATGGAGGGCACTCTTGGCCTTCATGGTGCCTCCCTTTCCTAATCCAAGTCCAACAAAATATTCACTTAAATTTATTCTCACTCTGGAAAACCTCTGTTCCCCCCAAGAGTAAGGACAAGGCTTACAGAGAGAGGACACATTTCATCAGACCAAACAAGACAGGCCAAACAGCCAGGCTTTTGCTCTGCCAGTCCTTCCTTAGGGTTTTATTAAGAGATTTCTCCATGGTCTCCCTTGGGCAAGGACAGCTTCCTGGTGGATGTGTCCGCAAGGTCTGCGATTTGTAAGGCAAAGAAATGGTTTTGATAATCCACAACTTGCTTAACAAGGACTCCCCACACAAAAATGGTTGCTTGTCTTCAAAGGAATGCTTCTCGAGAGCTACTTTGTGGCCAGTCACTCAGCGTTACTGATCCTCATTAGACCAGAAAAGTACACGCTTTCCCTCCAGGAAGAATGTGTAAGTGTTGGAATGTCTAACGTTAGAAATTATTGAAAGTGAGCAGTTTGAAATGGTCATTTTTCCTACAGCTGGAATTTAAAAGATGACAGTTTTCTTTCCCGTGTCCATTCTCATTATTTATCAGAACTTTGGCTGTGATTTTACATCCCTAACAAGTAAAATGGATAAGCCAGACCCCTTCCGGGCCACCGCATCCCATCTCCTTTGCCTGCTGCTGCTTCGGCCTTTACCAAACGCCTGCACTGCCACCTTCTGCCTGGCTTACATCTCACAGCTGAATTTCCACCACACTTTTGGTTTTTCTTTTGCTCATCCTGCCGAATTCAGGATGTATGTCCTAGGAAAGCTTGGAATACAAAGAAGAAACAACACGTGCATATGCACAATCAACATGGTCTGTAAACTGATTTTTTTCCCTAGCTGGTCTCTATTAATTGTGCTGTGCTTACTTCCTAGCTTTAATTTGGAGGAAGGGAACTCTCCAGTGCTACTTCCCATGACCCAAAAATATGAAAATATTTTGCCCAGAGAAGCTGTGGCAGCCACATCGCTGGAAGTGTTCCAGGCCAGGTTGAACGGGGCTTGGAGCAACCCAGGATAGTGGAAGGTGTCCCTGCCCCTGGCAGGGGTCATCTTTCAGGTCTCTTCTAAACCCAACCATCCTGTGATTCTAGGAGAAGAAATCCAAGTGAAGCATAACCATGGCTTAGGTTAAAAACAAAACTCCCTTTTTTCTTTCTTTCTTTCTTTTCTGATGGCATATTAGCTAAATGCAATGTCAGGCTGAAGGGGAAAAAATATCTGAAAGCCAAGTGAACCCAGATGTACTTTAAACCCTCCCACATCACCCATTTTAAAGAATTCTTGGTCTTTTTCCTTTTCTGATTGAAGGAAGGGATACCAAAATCCCCCTCTACTTAGAAAAATAAATGTTCTTAGTGAACATGCTAATCCCTGCAGCAGCCAGCCTCAGGCCAAGTGGCACTTCCAAGCAGGAGCAGGTCCTGGAAGAGAGATGGGCTGGGCACCGTCTCCTGGAAGGCATCAGAGTCATTAGTGAATGTCTAAACCCCAACCTTTAACAGAAAGCCAGTTCTTGCAGGCTCCAGAGACCCGATGCATGCAGGAAAAGGTTGGGAATAATTCCCCTGCATCATAAACAGGATTTTTCCCATGCTGAGGGAACAGTGGCATCTGGTGTTGGCTGGGCTCTCCTGCAGCCAGCGCTTCCCGGGAGGCTGATGGACATTCCCTGGACATGGGCAGGGTTTGGCTCCCCAGCGGCACCTGGGCCATGCAGGATGCCCGTGGGAAATGGATTTGTGGAGAATTCTCCAAGCCTGACAGAAGGCTCACAGATCTGCATGTAAACCTTGAGATAAGAAGTGCTGACTTAGAAATGCCATGGAACAGGACAGACATTGTTGAGAGAGAAATGGAACTGGAAACGAGTTTCAAAGGATGGCCTTGCAAATAACCTAGATGCTTTGGAGAAATAGAACTATGAAGGATGCACTGGAGTAGGACCCACAAAGGGTAATTTTAGATGATTTGCTTTTAAGCATCTACAGCAAGGTGTGACAAAAGCTGATAGGCCAAGAAACACTTCTAGGGTATTGTAATTAAAAAACAGCTTCTGATTGTCTTGGGTGAATTATAACATCTGTATTGTCTCACCCTTTTCATGAGACTGGAAATGGAATAAAAGTTTTTAAAACATGTCTCAGTTGCCCCACGTCTGGGTCAGAAAAGAACTTAATCCAACAGGGTCTGGCTCCCCAGTGGCACCTGGGACATGCAGGATGCCCAAGATGTCTCCCCAAATATCAGGTGGGGGGCTCAAGCCCATCTGAATGGCAGCTGGAGGCCAGGGCAGTGCATCAAATCCCAAACCGCTTCTAGTGAAGCAGGGAATCGCTCTGTCGGGGCAGGAATTCCAGGACCCAGGACTGTTGTGCATCTCCCTGGTATTTTCTATGGAATTTAGAAAAGGCAAACTGCTCTCTGCATTTTGCTAGTTGAAATACAGTTTATTGGTCTCCTATCCCACTGCATGAAAGGACATTTCCTACGGAGGTGGACACCATGACCAAGTTGAGCCTGGATCAAGATGGAAACAATTTCTGCTGGCTCCTATCATTTTTCAAGTTGCAGATTTTCCAAAGCTCTGCATCCTTCTACTTCACCAAAGGCTGTTCTGCAACATTTTCAAGATACCCCAGGACCAGTTTTAGCTGAGTGCTGGGACTGACAGGCTTTTTTCTGTTCCTTTTGTGATCAGTCCACAAGCAGAAGTTCTGAGCCGGTTACTCCTCCCGAGTGTGCAAAGGAGCAGCTCCGCTCTCATCCAACAAATCCCAGCTCCTCCTTGTGGCTGCACTCAGAAACTCTCAGCAGCTAAACTCACTCAGAGATACTGATTATTGTGCCTTTTGGGCAGTCTGCCCTATGAAGTTACAACAAAACGCATTTCGGTGACCGAAATCAGAACTGGTCTGACAGCCCTGACAGCGAGGGGCAGCTCTGCACGGGCACTGCTGAACGCTGACCTCCGTGGTCAAACAAGCAGCACAGCTAAAAGGATTTCTCTTCTTGCCTCTGAGGTTTCCAGACTCATCAGGTGGTTTTAAATAACAGCCAGCACTGTAAGTGACAAGGTGCCAAGGGCTGATTTTGGGTGGCGCTGGGTACCTTGGCACGGCACTCCTCAGAGCGTGGATCTCTCTGTTCCATGACAATTTGTTCAAATCAAGCCCTGGATTTGTCGTGGACCAAAGTTTATTTTCTATAAAAACACATGAGGTTTTCCAAACAGCAGCTGAACTCCTGCTAGAAAAAAACAAATCAGTAGGAAATTGGTTCCTAATGCCAAATCCCACTGAAATGAAATTTGATCCCCATCATCTCCTACAAAGACTTTGGTCTTAGGCTGGCAAATGTAACTCTCCTAAGTCAACAGGCAATTTAAAGTGTGTGGAGAACAAGCTGCAGAGGCTCTACAAATATCCCAACCGTTTTGCTATCAGCAGTCAACATAAACATTGTTACCTGAGTAGGTTCACAGAGAGAGTAAGAAAGGCTGGTTTTGGAAGGTTTTCTTTATTAAACTCAGCTTTTGCTGCTGTTCTGAGTTGACAAAAATGTTTCCCAGGAAGACTGACAAACAAAAACAGCTCCTAAATATATTTTTTTTTCAAACACTGTCAGTACAAACAAATAAAAGCTCTGGTTTGCTACTTTGGGAGGCCCTGTGTAACCAGCATTTTCAACTGGCCAATTAAAAGCATGTGTGTTCATCAGGGAAGAACTTCCCCTTGTTTTCAAATGATCAAATCCAGTGTTTAAAAATTATTGCTCGTTACCAGACAAAACCCCAAGATTAAAAGGATGTTCATTATACCATCCCTGCTGGTAATGTGTGAGAACCCCCAGGATTGATTCGGGGCTCTCGTGTGGTGGTAAAGTCTCTCCTCCAACCTTTGCTTCCAAAGAAAAACTCCGCAGCCTCTTGTTGTTCGGTCTCAAGGCAGTTTATTGCTAGTTATCTAAAAGATTGTCTTTGCCCGCTGCGGCTGCTTTGGTCAGCGGCCCAGGCAGAGGCACACACACTCTCCTGACACCCTCACTGTCCGGTGTCTCCGTCGTCTCTCCCCCCGCCCAGGGCTGCTGCTATCTTTTATATGATATATTACGTGTTATATGTTTACAGATTTTCCCCAATACCTACTATCCATGTTACAATGTGCTTTTCTACTCTAAACCAATCTGTGAGTGCCAACATCACCAAGAACATGGAGGCAAGGAAGAAGAAGGAGGAAGAACAGGATCAGGCCCACTTTCCTCCATCTTAGAACTCCTGACCCCCCTGTACAAAGTAAAACCCCCCTGTACATGTGTTAAAACCCCCCTGTATAATATTAAAAAATTTTCCCCTCTAATTTGTGACTACTTTTACTACACCATCTAACCCTCTGTGACCGCTTGTTCCACCTTCAAAGTTGGTAACTCATTCCATGGCTCAAACTCAAAATCACAGCTGTTTCCAGCTGCTTGCCAGGGTCTAAAATGCTTCTGACCAAGGCCTGGAACCTCCAAAAATGTCTGAGGGACATTTTGAGTTCCGACACTCCCCCTACCTTAATCATCCCCAAACTTCATCTGTCTCATTCCAGACCCCAGACCACCTCCCTAATCCCTATCCCAACCCATCCCACCCCTCCTGGACATCAAGACCCCTTCCCAAGCTGTACTTTTCCCATTTCATACCTCCCAATCCCCATTCCACCCTTCCTGCCTCACCCAATGCTCATCTCACCCCTCCTGATTTTCATCCCACTTTGCCCAATCCCCTTCCAACCCAATTTCACCCTGAAAGGCAGTGGAATCAAGTAATTTTGGGGTGGGATTCAGTAGTTTTTAGTGGCACTGAGTGGTTTTGAGCAGACAGATCAGTCCCTCTCATCTTTTGGAGTGCCAAGAAATAAAGACAACTAAACCAAATAGCCCCCGAACTCCCCCATATCCTCACAGATATCTCCTGGAATCCAAGATTCCCCAAAACACAAGTAAGATGTGAGGCTTTAGATACCTTTGATGAATTTGTTGATTTTTACCCCAATTTTCTGTGTTTGGAAGGGAGGACGATAAAAGATAATAAGAGGCAAAATAAAATAACAGCAGCCACTTCCCTCTGTGTATCACAGGGCATGTGGGTCACCAGGGCTCTGACCAGGGTGGGTCCTCTGATGGGGATGGAGCTGGAGCAGCGCACGAAGCTCTTCCTGCAGGCGGGGTTCTCGCAGGGCTTCCCTTACCGGTGCCTCCGCTGGTGCCGGGTAAAGAATGAGCGGTCTGAGAAGCTCTTCCCACACCGGGGACACTCGTAGGGCCTCTCCCCGGTGTGGATGCGCCGGTGGGTGACGAGGGTGGAGCTGTGCTTGAAGCCCATCCCGCAGTCGGGGCAGCGGAAGGGCCTCTCCTGTCTGTGAATCCGCTGATGTACAAGGAGATGGGAGCTGGTGTGAAACCTCTTCCCACACTCAGGACACTCGCAGGGCCTCTCCCCAGTGTGGAACCTCTGGTGGACAATCAGGTCGGACCTGTGGCTGAAGCTTTTCCCACATTCCCCACACTCGTAAGGCCGTTCCCCAGTGTGGATCCTCTGGTGGCAGATCAGGTCAAAACTCTTCCTGAAGCTCTTCCCACACTCCAGGCACTCACAGGGCCTCTCCCTGTCATGAAGCTGCTCAGGGACCACCAGCTCTGATCCCTGGCTGAAACTCTGTCCACCTTCCTGGCACAGGGTGGGACTTTCCTCCTTAGACACCCTGGGCTGGGTTTGCAGCCCCTCCTCGTGCAGGATCTCCAGGGTTTTTCCTCCCCATTCGATTCCTCTGCCATGGAGCCACTCAAAACAGCCTCTTCCACGATGTTCTGCTGGGGGGATTTCTCCTCCCTGGTCTCCATCCTCAGCTCCTGCTCTGGGGGAGGAAGGACAAGGAGAGGATGGGATTTGCCTCCGTGCCACAGGGAAGGGCAAGGAGATCCCCCCAGTGCGTCCCCGGCAGGAGGGCACCGGCAGCGGGGCTGTCCTGCAGCCGGGGGCCGTGCTGGGCTGGGAGATGGAGCAGGAGAGAGGGGGAAAGGGGCACTGACTTCCTCCTCACCTGCCTGGGTGTCCCAGGGCATCTTCCTCTTCCTCACAGCCTCCTCCTCCATCCAGCCAAAGTTTGGGAGTGGGAAATCCTGGTTTGAGGAAAACCAAGGTGTGAATGGCTTGGGTTGGGGATTCCTCCTGCCCAAATCCATCTCCAGAAGTCTCCTGGTGTCCATAAAAACCTCCAAAAATCATGAGTGAATAAAAACAAGCCACCAGGAGTGTTCCATTTCCATTCTCATCCCTCTGGGGTTCTGGTGTCCCCCGTCTCAGGGCTGCTGGGGATCCTCATGGCTCCTGGGGATCCCCCTTCTCCAGGGTCCTGCTTAGGGATGCTGGGGGGTTTTGCAGTACAAGGGTCCCCCTCTCCAGCCTCCCCCCGGTCCAGGCACTTGGGGCTCCCCCCTCTCCCCACCACCCTGTCCTGGTTTAGGGCAAATTTGGGAGAAAACCCCCCAAGGGGGTTTTCTAGAAAGCAGATTCAAGTGGCCTCTCCCCCAACCAGTTCAGGAAAAGATTTCCTTGGAGAAAAGTAGAAAAAAACTGTTTATTTAACAGGCAAAGCATTCACCAGCACAAAAAATGAACAATAATAAACAACAAAACCTGTTGTTGCTCCAAAAGAGATGACAAACTCAGAAAGTCCCTCCGTGGGCTGCAGCTCGGCTCACTCAGGCTCTGATCAGTCCCTCCATGGCCCAGGCCCAGCCCAGTGGGCCACAGGTGTGAGCTGCCGGTGCTCTTCTGGTGTTCAGTCCAGAGCAGGTTTAAACAGCTCCAAAGAAAAAGCAAAACCACAGGCCAGGGAACTTCTCTGCCTCAGCGAGCTAAAAACTAACTAAAAGCAAAGGAGAGCTCTGTCCTGCTGTCTGTTGGCAGACAACTGATACCTCAGGTTTAAGTTTTTCTGTTCTGTTTTGGTGTGCAGCTTCTAGCTCTATATTAGGTGTTCCTGGGATCATTTCACAGGGCGGCGAAGACAAAACAATCCTGTTCTAGCTGGAGAGTCAAGGACAATCTCTTCAAACTTCAGGCCCAAAGCATAAACAACAGGAAAAGCATAGGGCAGGCAAGCAAGCAAGCAAGGAGGATGAAAGTTCGTAATTTGAAGCTATTAATTGGGCCGTTAAATCCTGTATGCAAATGCACTAACACTTATAAAAATGTGAGCTCTCATGGCCAAGCCCTCTTTTGCTTCCATCTCGGAGCCATCCGGGCAGAGCCCCGACCATGGCTCCGGTACTGCCGGGGTGTGGCCTTTGAAGGCACTTCAATAAATATCCACTTTATTCCTCTTGGCTCCGTCTGGCCTCTGTCCCAGCTCCTTAAGGCATCTCAGCAGCCCAGGAGCCGGAATGTGGAGGGGTGAGTGCAGCTCCTGAAAACAAACTGCGCGCTTCTTCCTCCCCCTCTTCGCTCTCAGAACCAGCCCTGAAGGTGCAGAACTCATTTCGGGGCCAAACGGACCAATGGGGGTTCGAGCATCGTGAGGTCACCCCAGGACAGGCCCTGCCAGGCTCAGGGGTCCCGTCCCCGCCTCATCTCCGGCTGCCGGGGGTCCCCCAGCTCCGGTATCGCCCCTTCCCCTCTGCCGCCCCGGGGGTCCCACGTTCCGCAGCCCCGGCTCTCACGGGGATCCCCAAAACCAATGTCCCGCCCTGTCAGCACCGGGCCAGCCCCGCGTGGTCCCCCGGGACCCTCCGAGGGGCGATCACAGCTCCTCTGCCCCCGAAAAAGCTCCTCTTGGGGAGCCCGGAGGGATCCGGGGCTCGGCATCTGCCGGCTCCGAGCGCTCTCCAGAAAAATCCTCCCGGAGACCCCTCGATAGCGCCGGGGCGAGCTCGGCCTCCCCCTGCCCTGCGGCTCGGGGCTGGGGCGATGCTGGCGGGGCAGGGGGTGCTGCAGCCCCGGCGTGCGGGCGGTGCGAGCGGCGGGATTCTCCCGCTCCTGCTCCCGCCGCTCCTCCTGTCCCTCCTCCTCCTCACTGAAACAAAAGATTTTCCAGAGATCACTTAAACTAACAAAATGAATGTATCAGAAATGAATGTACCAAAAATAGATGTATAAAAAGAATGTATCAAAAATGAGTGTATCAGAAATGAATGTATTATGTTTGTAGAATTGTGTGTTGAATTTTAAGAAACCCCTGCACAGAAGGGCATAGGAAAGAAAAACAAAGATCTCTAAAGCTGCTTGCAAAGGACAAATACCGGAAAGGACAAAGAATGCTAAGACCCCCAGACGAGGAAGCCCTATGTCGCCAGCATGTCAAAAATGATGAACTTATCCAGATAAGAGAGCAAAGGACCAAAAGCGCAAGCGCAGACGAGGAGAGTTCAAAAGCTCAATGCTGAGGAAGACTAAGATATAAATAAAAAGACCACCAGGGACCCCCATAAGAAACCCTCACAAAGAACTACGCGTGCCCAGAAGGGTGTGGACCTATTTAGCATGAGAAGCGAAGACAGGCGGGGCCAGGGGTTGAATATGCATAGAAAAATTGTGTAATGTATTGCATATGTAACACCTTTGTGAATAAAGTCGGGGGGCAGACTTCAGCTCGGGGCACAAGATTTCAGAGAGTTATCTCGCTTGTGCCGAGCGCTCCCATACATACCCACTTCATAACTACCTCGAGTTGTGGAGTCTATTTATTTATTCCGCATATCGCTTCACCCGCAGCCCCTCCGCTGCAGCCCGGAGCTCCCTTTCCCAGCCTCTGCCCGCGGCCCCGCAGCCCCGGCTGTGGGTGGGGGAGCCCCCGGCCGGCCCCGGGGCGGGCAGGGGGCTCGGGGACCCCCCCGGGGCGGGTCCGTCCCCCCGGCCCGAGCCCCGAACTCCGCTCCGGGGCCGCGGGGCGCGGCGGGGCCGCCCGGCAACTGGTGACTCATCGGCGAGAAGAGCTCTGGTTGGCTGGAAATTGTTCAGCGCCTTCTCTGATTGGCTGGAACTGTGAGCGGCGCTGCGCCCGGCGGGTGTCCCGGGGAGCTGCGGAGGCCGGGCCGGAGCCTTCTCCTATTTCTTTCTGTCCCTCTGAGACCTTTTCCGATTTCTTTCTCTCTATGAGATCCCTTTACTATTCCTTTCTGTCTCTCTGAGACCTTTTCCGATTTCTTTCTCTCTCTCTGAGATCCCTTTACTATTCCTTTCTGTCTCTCTGAGACCTTTTCCCGATTTCTTTCTGTCTCTCTGAGACCTTTTTCCGATTTCTTTCTCTCTCTCTGAGATCCCTTTACTATTTCTTCCTCTCCCTTTCTCCTTCCCATTTCTTGTTCAGTTCAATCCATGTTCAGTCAAATCCGCAGGTTGCGCTCCCAGGGTCTCATTTGCACCTTCGCTGGGGCTGAGGCGTCTCTCCCTCCCGGGATCGGAACCCGCGGGCAGGCTCCGTTCCCACCGCAATCGTTCCGGGATTCTGTCAGGGACTCGCTTCCCTTCCCTCCCTCCCTCTGCCTGCAGCCGGGAATGTGCTGGGAAATGCCCAGCACAGCCACCTTTGCTGCGTGCTGCAGGAGCCCACGGAGCTGCTGCACCTTGTCCCCTGCCCTGCACAGCTCCTTGGGAGGCACGGCAGGAGCAGCACCCTGGGAGCCTCGGGAATGCCCCTCTGGGATCCATGGCACACGCTGCCAGGGGCTGGAATTCCAGTTCCCAGCCAGGAAAAGATGTTCCTGCCCTTGAAGGCAAAGCTCTTAACAAGGGGCCAAGGGGCACTTGGAGGGGCACTCAGGGATTCTGGGGGGCAGTTCGGGGTCCGGGGGAGCACTCGGGGGTCCGGGACCCTGGAGGTCAGGGAGGGGAATTTGGGGCCCTTTGGGGTCCGGGGGAGCACTCGGGGGTCCGGGGCCCTGGAGGTCAGGGAGGGGAATTTGGGGCCCTTCGGGGTCCGGGGGAGCACTCGGGGGTCCGGGGCCCTGGAGGTCAGGGAGGGGAATTTGGGGCCCTTCGGGGTCCGGGGGAGCACTCGGGGGTTCAGGGGGCCCCTGGAGGTCAGGGAGGGGAATTTGGGGCCCTTCGGGGTCCGGGGGAGCACTCGGGGGTTCAGGGGGGCCCTGGAGGTCAGGGAGGGGAATTTGGGGCCCCTGGAGGTCAGGGAGGGGAATTTGGGGCCCTTCGGGGTCCGGGGGAGCACTCGGGGGGCTCGGGCGGGGCTCGCTGGGGCGCGGGGGCTGATGGGAGTTGTAGGCGCGGGTACAATACGGTGTAACGGGGCCGCGGAGCATCACGGGAGTTCTAGGCGCAGCTACAGCGGCTCTCGGTGGGGCGCGGGGCATGACGGGAGATGAAGTCACGGCTGGACCAGCGCTGGACGGGCGCCGCGGAGCATGATGGGAGCTGTAGTCCCGGAAGTGGTTCAGACGCGGCGTTTGGGACCGCCCAGGAAGGCCCTCGGGGGACACTTTTGTGTCTGAGCTGCGACTTGAGGTTCTCGGGGGTTCTGGAGCACTCGGGGGATCTTGGGAAGATTTAACCGGGTTCCTTAGGACGCAGGGCGCGGCAGGAATTTTAGGCGCGGAACTGTATTCTGAGGGGCTCTGGGGCCGCGGGGGATGGGAGGAGAGGAATTCCCAGAAGTGGCTGTTCCTGGCATCTGTGGGGTTGGGAGCACTCAGGGCATCCGAGGACGCTTTTTGAAGAGTCCCGAATGGGCGCTGAGGGGCACTTGGGGATCCCGGAGGGTCTGGGGGACACTTACGGGACAGATGGGGGCGGTACCGGGGCGGTTCTGTGGAGCGCGGGGCATGACGGGCGTTGTAGTCCCGGCTTTAATGGGGCACTATGGGGCTGCGGGGCATGATGGGAGTTGAAGGCAAAAGAAAAGATGGTGCAGACTCCAGGCACCGCCCCCAAAGCCATGATCGATCCCTGGCGCTGATTGGTTGGGGGGCCGTGATAGGCGGGAGCCTCGGCCAGTGGGAGGTGGTGGGGGAGGGAACAGCCCATTCAACCCCTCCAGGCCCTCCCAGTACAGCCCAGTTCATCCCCAGTACAGCCCAGTAGAAACCAAGTTCCCCTCCTGTCCTTCCCGGTACAGCCCAGTCCCTCCCAATACACCTGAGTTCATTCCCAGGCCCTCCCAGTTCCTCCCAATGTCATCCCCAGTATGCCCCAGTGTTGCCCAGTTTTCCCCACAATGTCCCTAGTTTGTCCCAGTATCCGCCAGTTTTACTCCCAGTTTCACTCCCAATATGTCC